ACACCAGCCCTAAAGCTAAACACCAGCCATGAAGCTAAACATCAGCCTTGAAGCTAAACACCAGCCCTGAAGCTAAACACCAGCCCTGAAGCTAAACACAAGCCCTGAAGCTAAACACCAGCCCTGAATCTAAACATCAGCCCTGAAGCTAAACACCAGCACTGAAGCTAAACGAGCAGAAGCTTTCTTCACAAAACAGACCCAAGACTGATGAGGTTCAAAAGAAAAGACCTGTCAGTCAAAAAGCTGAGAGTCTGAGGAGCAAGAAGGGAAATCTAAGAAAGTTCAGCATATTAAAGCTGTGCTGTAGGTCTGGAAAAGGTCTGAATTATTATTCAAGTGAATGATTAGAGGTGCACCGACTGCAGTTTTCCGACTTGTTTTATATTCAGGTGTTATCAGGTCACAATGCACCTTCAGTTTGACAATCGTATTTTACTGAAACACATGCCCTTGTACAATATCCTAGAACAATACAAGCTTGTTTTAAGTGGCCATGAGGTAGTGCTCTGAAATATAAAGGAAGTTCAGACAATTGTTAAAACTAAAAATTATCTGTAAAATCGGTTTCTCGTGCACGTATCGGCCAATTTCCCAAAATTAAGGAAATCGGGGCCGATAAATTGGCGCAGCTTTAATTATTGACCTTCAAACCTGTTAAATGTGTACAAACTGTGTCGACCGTACACCGTTTAACTTCTGTACTTTTACCATGTTCCTGACAAAGTCTAAAACAAGAGGGGCACGTCACGACTTCTGTGCACGACTGTGCACGTGAGTATTTATACGCACAGGTAAGCGAGCAGCACGGCTCCCAGCACCAAGGCGAAGCGGCTGAAGGAGGAGTAGAAGTAGACGATGCTGAGCAGGACGCCGGCCCGCGACACGGCGTACAGCCAGTCCAGCCAGTCGTGGTTCAGGTCGTCGTCGTTCAGAACCGGCCCGCCCTGAGCGTTCATCTGGACCGGGTTGGCCGGCTCGTTCTCTTGTAAAGGGTTCTGGGCCGGGTTGGGGCCGAGCGGAGGTTGAACATCTTCGTCAGGTGGAGCAGGTGGGCGGGGTGAGGAGGGGGCGGAGGTGGGAGGAGAAGGGAGGGGAGGCTGAGAGGCAGCCACTGCAGCCTGACTACAAACACAAACACGAGATTGAACACTTCAGCAGAGACCGTGACGTCTCTGACGCTCCACGACCGTCCTTCACTTACTACTGCAGGTAGTAATGCCGTGCATACATCTGCTGCCACCACAACATGTGCACGGGCGCGTACAGGGGGTTAGGGGCCACGTCGGCAGGGAGGTCGCCTTGCAAAGGGACCTGGGCTGCACCCGGGCTGTGAAAGGAAAAAATACAAGAAACAAACGAGATTCACACAAATAAGAGACTGGTCTGTAAATGAATGCAGCGTTTTCCTTTGATGTGAGATTTACTAAAGTGAAACTAGTTGTTTTTTAGAGTCGCTCTCAGTCCAAGACGTCTGAACACAGAACGGTCCACTCCGTCGTCACGATGTGACTGAGAACATCTGGATGCTCTGTGACCGCTGCTCAAGATGTTTCATTTGCTTTGGATTTTAAAACGTGTCCGAGTGATCAGAGAAAATATCTTTTGGTGTTTGTAAATTTATTTTACTTCTTGTTGCTTGCATGCTGTTTTTATGAAACTTGTTGCTATGGTCAGTATGTTTGTGTCTTCAGGTAAAGGTTAAAGGTCGAGCAGCTCAGGTAAAGGTTAAAGGTCGAGCAGCTTACCACGGAGGGACACCGGAGGTGCTCTGGGAATCGTGAGGGGGGGCGCCTCCTCGATACCTCAACCCATCACGAGTTTCTGGGACAGAGGGGGGTGAGGAGGAAGAGTCCGACTGACTGTCCAGATTTGGCGTGGTGGCAGGAGAGGGGGGGACGTTGCCGTCTGAACTCTGTGACGACAACATAAAGTGCAATTAATTATTAAACAAAGTTATTACAGGAGCTCGACAGACAGGAAATGACACGGAAGCAGAAGAAACACCTGATCCATGATTGAACCAGCACACACCGTGCTACGATTACTCACTCCGGAGTCAGAAGCAGAGGAGCTGGACGGACTCTGAGGCATCGGTGAGCCTGGGGGGCCAAGAGAAGAACGATCCAGATGCATCATGCGCTCCTCATCCCGCTGCGAGTCCCCCGGCCGGGAAACGGCCCGACGGTGGGAGGAGGGAAACAATGATGGAAAACAAAGAAGGTACCGGAGACAAAAGGAAAGTTGACTTTAGAAACAGACAGAACTCAAACACAAAGACCCTCTTTGTTTGTTTGTTTGTTTGTTTCAGGTCATCAGTTCACAGACACGTGAACAACAAGCAGTTCTCTAAAATAAAGACATTTGTTTTAGTTTTATTTAAAGCTTTGGGTGAGGGCTTTGCTGGTGTCAGCTGCACCGTGTGCGTACCGTTACACGTGTACTCCACAGCTCGCGGTCACAATATTTAAAAATCATTTCATGATGCTCCTGGTTGTGTATGTAGCAAATTATAACGTCGTCTGATTGGACCTTGAGACCAGCTGCACAGATGTGCACAATTTAACTGAAGACCGTCACCGTCACAAGAACTGCAGGTAGGCGGAGCCTGCAGGACGGGCCGATCGTCACCCAGTGAGTGGTACTGGAGTGAGCAGCAGGTTTACCTGTGTGCTGGTTTGATTACCAGGAACAAAAGCTGACAATCTAAAGCTGACCTCACACAACTGAAGCACAAACTTTGCCAGAACTTGGATCGTATGAAAACACGGTGCAGTTTAAGTTGACACTTGTAACAACGTGCACGCTCTTGTTTTTTAACACGGCCAGCTGAAAAGCTTTAAACCCTGTACATATGTTCAGGATTAATCATCTCCTGCGTTCAAACACACAAAGTCTTCAAGCAATTCTTCATCAAAACGCCACAAATCAAATTATAACATGCGTAAACAATGTGAATGAAACTAAAACCTTTTCAACCTTTATCTCTACAGGTTGGTCTCACTGAGCCTCCAGGACTCGTTTACAAGAGACACCTGGTTTAAACAAAGAGCCATGACAACCGTGGACAGTCATAAATAAGAATATACATTGAAAAATGAATGGAAGAACTTATATAAAAGATAAAAAACATCTATGTTAACGTCATTATATAAAACTCTGAGGGAGGACACACCAACATCAACCACATACATAAAAACTAACTGGGAGAAAGAATCCAAAATTGAACTGTCGTCAGAAGAATGGCAGGATGTGTATAAATCAGAGCACAGCAACAAACTCCAGACTTTGGAGAGAGTTTGGGTGGAAACCCTCTCCAGGTTCTTCATTGCACCCAAGATAAAGAGCAAACAAACCACATCTCATCTGCCCTGTTGGAGAATGTGTGGAAATATGGAAGCAAACATACACACACATTCTGGGAGTGTCCAAAACTAGATTTATATGGTGAAATGTGAATACTGCAATCAGAGCCATCGTGGGATACCCATTATCAAGATTTTAAGACGACGTATCTTGGAAATATAAATAAATGTGTATTGAATGAAGATATGTATTTGATTAAGATACTGTTAACTGCGTGTAAAAAAGCCATAACAAGAAACTGGAACCAGGTATCAGCTCCCTCCAGACAACAACGGCTGAATGTTGGTAGGGAAATTTACGAGATGGAGCGAATGACCTTCATTCTTGGACTAAAAGAAGATTTTTTTTGTCTAAATAAAGGTTGAATGAATATTTTTTTGAATACGTGGGAAAAATGGACACACCCAAGAAGAGACACGAGGAAACTCAATGCTATTAACTGGAATTTCTAGACTATAAACATCTATGACCGAGATTTATTTTATTGTTATTATTATTTTACATATATATAATTATTATTTTTTTAATTTAGTTATTGTTCTATGAATGTGTGCACCCCTTTATTGTTATTTTTTTAATTGCTATTGTAAAGAGCGGCCTGCTTAGGCTACCATAATCTGGAAAATGTACGAGATAAATCCTTATGTTATGTTCTATTAATAAAAATTAAAGTGGAAAAAGAAATTAAGAAGCATCTGTGTTATAATACAAAATACTGAAAACAGGAACATGTGTGCGTTGGTTTTTGCAGGAGCTTAGCAGATGTTTAAAATCCCCCAGAGGTCAGGGTGGAGCGCTCCAGGTCTTTTGGTAAGATGCTCCAGGAAACGGGAGCGGAGGAGAATCTTAACATTTACCTGCAGACACGCAGCAGCTCTCACCTGTGTGAAGTCATTGTGTTAAAGGATCCTTCCTGAATTCACCGTGTGCTGGTCGATGAACAGCTGCGAAGCAAACGGCATCAAATATCAACACAAGGAGCACGACGACGCAGGAAGGCCTGTGAGTAACATCTGCCCAGGCTACAAGCACACCTCCAGATGTTCGTGCTGTGCTTCAGCTTACTACAAACGTCCTTACAAGCGTAATCCTGGACCATGGGAAGGATCTGACTCCACTGAAACTGGGATTCTGAACAAACGTTGGCTCCAGTTTGTCGAGAAGCTGCTGGAATGAATTTTGATCCAAGAGTAAAAATAAAAACAAGAAACTGATCTGAACGTGATTTTAACGTTCAGCACAAATTTCAACATGACGGATCGGTTCCTATAAACGTTATGAAATTTATTGAAATCTGTCCAGAGGACCTCACTCCACTTTTCAGAAATACTTTGGGAGATTTTAACTTTTGCTGTATCAAGATCTCTAATTAATACAAAACAAACAAATAAATAAATCCAGACAGCACCTGGATGGTTTATAACAGCTAGACTAAAATGTTCTGCTGAAAAGTCACTACTTCATTTCTATTATTAAAAATACTAACATTAAATTTGTTGTGTAACATTTATTTTGCACATGATTTTGAAGTGAAGGTGAAACAAAACAATCCATTTAGAATAAACTACTTTCAGCCCACGTGGAGTAACTTTTACTGTTGGTCAGAGTGTAAACTAATAACAAATCAAAAAATCTAATATCGATCAAAAGGGCAGATATCAGGACAAGTTTTAGTTGAAACACGTGGTCATTAATCAGGAGAAACTTTTCTTAAACAACTCATGAAAAGTAACTGTCCAAACAGAAAGTAAATAATAGTTATAGTTTCTGTTCAGTCCCAACTCCTGCCATCAAAACAAACCCCAAACAGGCTAAACCGGTTCACTTCGGGCATTCTACCAACTATATTACTAAACCCAGAAAAGAATAAAAAAGAATAAAGGACGTTTAAGGGCGGGCCAGTCTCAGAATTTGGACTTTTATTTTCTGCTGATGAAGAAAACAGTTAGCTTGTTAGCTACAGCTAGCTTCGCTGTGGTAGCGATGCGTCCAGATGATTAAACCTCCTTCCGCAGTGACAACGCGTTAATCTGTTCTCCACCTTTAATTATCCCCGTCAGGTTCAGCTGACAGACCTGGTCACACAGCGTCGTCTCTCCGTCCCTGCTCCGCTCCGCCGCCGCGCTGCCGTAATGTCTGCTCCGAGAGCGGAAGTCACGTGACCACGACGGCCAGAGCAGCTGATCGGTGGGTTTGTTCCTTAACGGTCCGCCGGCGCTTGATCGGGCTAGAAGTGCACACGAGCGGAGAATGTGAATATTTTGGTAAAGGAGGGAATGTGTTACCTCAACAGTCATAGTTTATTATCGTATTGCCTGTTAATAACAAATGTGTAACTTCTTCTTCTTCTTTCGGCTTTTCCCTCGTCAAGTGTCGCCACAGCGAATCCTCCTCCTCCATCTCACTCTTAGCTCAGTTTGGAATTGATCGTATTCAGCAGATCCATTTATTGATTTAAGATTATTTTTTGTATTAAAACAACACTGACATGTAAAAACAACTATTTATGTTCATGCTTGGTTTTTGCAGGCTGATGTAACATGGACCCACCTTAAACAAACAGTGGGTGAGCGAAATAGTCCATGCTCAATAATCCAGGTATACAATCCAACAATTTTCAGTCCGGTCATCTGGACGATGAGGTCATCTGGACGATGAGGTCATCTGTCGACGAGGAAGAGGGCCGGGCATCGGAGGAGGGGGCGTGCCAAAGACACCATCTTAGCACCAACATAACTGGTTTGTTCCACTTTGTAGTAAGCTGTTGTGGGGAGAATCAGTTTTGTGTTGTGTGTTTCCTTGACTGGTGAAGCCTTCTGGATGGAAGGTGAAATGTTTCAGAAAAAAAAAAAGAAAACCTGTCCAGATGACCTGACTGAAAACGGTGAGCGAAGTCCGCCAGCTCGGTGCGCCACTATATTCACCGATGCTCAAAACGTGTGGACCCAAAAGTTTTTTGTTTTTTTTAACTTTATTGAACTACTGTGGACCCAAAAGTTTTTTTTTTTAAGTTTATTGAACTACTGTGGACCCAAAAGGTTTTTTTTTTAACTTTATTGAACTACTGTGGACCCAAAAGTTAATGCAGGTAAAATAAGAATGACATGGGAGCTGGGAGTGAGGTGTAGCTAGCAAGTATTTAAACATTTTCAGAACGACTCCTGAAACTCTTGTTACACATTATTTTATTGACATAAATTGGTCTTTTTCCATCATAATCTTTGATGTATTAGAAGAAAACTGATCATTTGGTGATAAACATCAACACATACCGTTGCAAGAATAATTTTAACTACCGGCAGGTCAAAATTAGAAATCCGTGTCTGGAAGCCCAGATCCTTATATTGCAGTAATATTAATCATTCAACCTTTATTTATACAGGTGAGTCTCATCGAGTCTCAAGGACTCATTTACAAGAGAGACCTGATTTTAACAAAGAGTGATGACAACAGCAGACAGTCATAAAAGAAAGCATATACTGTAAATCGTGAAAAATGAAAGAAAATGGCATTAAAAAACGAAACTAAAGCAGCTACAATGCAAGGCGATGTAAAAAACTAAAAACAGGAACATGTCTGCGTTGGCGTTTGTCATGAACTTAGCAGATGCTTGAAGCCACTTAGAGGTCGAGAGCTTCAGAGCTTCTTGCATTATTTCCATCAGATGTAATTTACAAAGAAACTGTCAACGTCTGTTAAAATTGTTATGGTCTGGAGCAACGTGTGTGTTAACAGCAGCAAATAAAAATGTGTATGTGTACTTAAATATTTTATTATGTAATCTCTTTGACACTCAACTGTAGATTAATTAATTTCATCATTTTAGTTCATAAAATACTGAATGATTTCACTCACTTTATATTGAAGTGATCGTCTGTGGGAAACATCACTTTCTGTTTTTGTGTTCCATAATAATGAAAGGAAAAAAGAGGAATCAAATCTTGAACATACTGGAACAGACCAAACAGAGATTAACACGTTCTTTACATTTAAGTTGTTTAGGTCAACAAGAAATACATAAAAACGCTGAATTGTCAACAACCTTTAATTAACCTTTAATGAGATATTAGCCTGGCTGGCAACACAGAGGAGGAAAGTGCTTGAAGTTATAATTATATACTAATAAAGTTCACCACAACACTTTTATTCAGATTACTGTCTCAGTTTGTGCAGAGCCTCCTTGGTCAGCTGTTCACTGTATCGGTTGACCTTCCAGTGTCCCGGCATCCATCCCAGCAGAAAACGATGAAAATCCGTCCAAGCGAACACAAACATGTCTCTCCACTCTTTTTCCAGCGCGTCCACGTCCACGTCTTCTTTTACAAACAGCTTCAGTTCGGTGAAATAGTGCTCCAACAGGCCCGGCACCCTTTCCTCACACTCCCTCTCGTCCATGCAGCTTCCAAGAAAATACACAACGTCTTTCATCCCACACCCGCCGCCAACATACTGAAAGTCCACCGCTGCCACGTCATGTCCACGCTGGGAAAAGCAGAAATTAGCCAGCTTGGCGTCCCCGTGGACAATGGTCTTGAAGCGGCACTCACTGAGCTTCCTGTCGATGTCGGCGGCTGCAGCTTTCAACTCGGCGTCGTCCATCGCCTCCAGCTCATCGGGCCGGGTCTCCAGGTGCCAGTAGGTACCGACTGGCCACAGACCCACTGGTTCCACACCCAGGAAGAGAGCATGGAAGTGGGCAAGCCAGCTGAGGCAAGCCCTGATCTCTCTGTCCCTCACGCTGGTCCTATGAATGACAACATTTACATCCAACATGAAAAACCTCTTCTAAATAATAATGTCTCGATAATCTTTATTACTGCCGACAAGAAGTGGAAAAGAGGGCTTGATTCATGAGCTTTGGATCATTTAAAAATAATCTATTAACAGCTAATAAACTGTAGAGGAGCAGGTCTGTCATTCAACCTTTATTTATACAGATCAGTCACATTGAGCCACAAAGACTCATTTACAAGCGAGACCTGTTTGGACAGACAACATGTCTCTTGTTGCCAACAATAAGAGACACATGATGAGTGTAGCTGCTTTAATCAGACTAAAAATACTTCCAACATGAGCCAGAGTTTGGTTTTCCAGGTACACCATGACGGGTTAGTCACAGTGTAAATTTAGGCTTGATTTAATACTTGTAAATTAAAAAGCTAAACAAAACGTTGTTTAAAGTGTGTCCAGAATGCAGAGAAACACACCGACTGTCAACAGCTTCACTCATCTTCATTCTCTTATGTACACTTTGACTTTATTAGTTCACTGCATGTGTGTGCAATGAAAACAGCAGAACTATAAATATATATCTCCTTAATTATTGTACTTTTATGATTATTATAAGATGAATATGAAGCAAAATATTATAATATTTAGGAAGCAGTGGTAATAGCATTTAATTTCTATATAAAAAGAGTAAATAACCATGTCTTCATGTTTTTGCTTTAATGCAGAGAAACTGTTCTTGTTCCCTCAGTTCTGGGCCCAAACACACATGTTTGATTGGTTTGTTTTATTTCTTGTTTTGTTTCTTGATTGCAGCATGCTCTGTAAACCCAGAGGAGAAGTTTATACATTTAATAAGAACTCTAAATCCAGCTGTCTCTTCAGCACCGACGCACTTTGAAGTAAAACTTACAAACATCAACTCTGATGGTTATCACATCAACATCTGAAGCCTCGTGCTGGACTCCTCTCGCACTGACTTTAATTAACTCGGATGAGATGAGATGGATGTTTCCACGGATCCATACCTCCTCTGATCGTACCCCTCCACGTCCAGGTCCTCCAGCACCAGCACCAGCTCCGGGCCGTAGCGGCGGGCAGCCAGGCAGCACGGGACTCGGCAGCTCTGGTCGGTGGAGTAGTTCTGGTACCAGTGGGTCTCCACCTGGTACGACCTCACCTTCCGTGCGTGCGAGCGGTCCGTGCTCCCGCCGCCCGGGCGCTCGGCCTCGTGCGGAAGCCTCACGTGTTTCACGACCACGGAGGGCCGGTCTTGTGCGAAATTCTGCTCCCCCGTGAAAATCTGTTCCCCCTGCGTCGGGAGCGCGCATTGCTGTCAGAGAGGCGGATCCGGCGGATCTGATCATTTTGACGGCGCTTCTGATCGACCGGCCCTCCGTGGTCGTGAAACACGTGAGGCTTCCGCACGAGGCCGAGCGCCCGGGCGGCGGGAGCACGGACCGCTCGCACGCACGGAAGGTGAGGTCGTACCAGGTGGAGACCCACTGGTACCAGAACTACTCCACCGACCAGAGCTGCCGAGTCCCGTGCTGCCTGGCTGCCCGCCTCCAGGTGCAGCCGGACTATGTCCCCGTAGCCGCTCCACAGAGTCTGGATCCTGGAGCCGACACGCACAGATGAGGCTCCGCACGCCTGTAGGACCAGATCCTGGTACTCCTGCTTCATGTCCAGCGTCGGGTCTGAGCCGAAGGGATTAAAAAAAGAACAGTGACAGAGAAGTTAACATCGTTTAAATGTGGACATTGTTACATTTAACGATGCCGACGACTAACGAATACTTCCGGTCACTCTTCTTCTTCGATTTAAAGACGGTCGTCAAACGAACTGAGACGTTCTCTACCGCCACCTCCTGGACTGGAGTGTAGACGGAACTTAAAAGAATTAAACCTCAGAGTCAAAGTCAGAGTTTCTTTATTGTCATTGTCACCTCATGTGGTACATGTGGTGGAGCGAAATTATGTACACAGGGTCCCAGTTACATCCAACAATAAAATGTAAAAGAAAAACAGTAATAACATCTAAGATATGAACTAAGAAAAACATCAACTAAATATACACTAAGCACTAATAGCATAAAACATTACGTCGAACATCAGCACAAACATGAACACGAGTCCGTGTAAGCAGATGTGCACGCATGAACACATCAGCATAGAAACAGATCAGCAGCAACATGAAACAGATCAGCAGCAACATGAAACAGATCAGCAGCAACATGAAACAGATCAGCAGCAACATGATGTGATTTTTCACAGTGGTTATTCTGGTTAAAGATTCATGAGTCTAACAGCCTCAGGGTAGAAGCTGTTCCTCAGTCTAGTGGTTCTACACTTAATGCTCCTCAACCTTGACATTAAGCTTGTGTTTCTCACAAATTTACTTTTTAATATGGCTTTTCTAAATAGATGACTTATTTTTAACTGATGTTTAAAATATTCAGCACTTCTTTGTGGTGGTCCCTTGCTTGTTCATAAGCCTTAAATGTAGAAGTGTTTCTGGTTGACTTCAGCTAAATTTGAATTGAGTCTTACTGGTGACCAGTTATCATATTTTGATGTGAGTAATAATGTATTCCTCTCTTTTATTTACCACCCACCCCCAACAACACAAACATCCTTTTAGTAAATGAGTCCCCGAGGCTCATTAACCTGTATAAATAAAGGTCGCATGAATTAATTAAGACCACCATTTTGAAAGACATGTGATCTTTGGCTATTAGTGAGTGTTTGTCTATTTGAACAATATTTCGTGATCCACTGAATGGATTTTGGTAAAACACTCGGACAGATATCATTGATGTACCTTTAAAGCTGATTAACTTATGGAGTCTGTTAGGGAAGTTTGGTTAAGGTTTATGGATGTTTTAAACTAATATGGCAGAGAATGTTAACTGCCCATGAACCATGTGTTTGAGTTAGCAGCGAGAGCTGGATGAGGAGTTGATTTCATACTGCAGGCGCAGCTGGCAGTCCAAGGTCACCAGTCTGTTTGTGAGCTGGGAGAGCTGGTAAGGTTATAAAAACAAGCCTAGCACACTGCTTATTTTATCAAAGATATATTTCTAAATTAAATCTTCAACATGTGGGAGCTACAGCTCTGACCTGGAGCAGAATGAGCCAAGGAGCAGCAGGTGATAAAAGGATGCTCAGGACTCAGTGTGGGCAGAAAGAGGACGCTACACGTTGAATAAACTCACAGATGACAGCAGCCTCCTCTTGCTCCTGTTCAGCCACAGACCCGAGGAGCTGCTCTGCAGGAGACACAGAACCAGAACTGGATTAGTTCTGAAACACAACTCGACCAGTGCTCAGGACACAAACCGTTACGGTTCATCCAGCTGAGCCGTCTTTCTCCAGAGAACTAAAAGATCTTCAACTGAACGCAGCTCCCGAGCAGAAAGAAACAACAGAACACGACAGAAAGTCTTCAGCTAAAGAAAAGCTAAAGTAGTTTTTACATGCAGTGAAAGCATTTAAAAGTTTTTGGGCTGGTAAAACAGAAGTCACAGGTTTTACTTTAATCTAAAGATTTTTGTTAGTGAGTCACAAACATTTAGCTTTGTTACAGGTTTTACTTTAACACTTCAATGCAAAGATCATAGAATACACTTACCTGATGTTTGATAAGATTTAATAACTAAGTTTGTTTTGCACAAACAATGATGTTCATGCTTTTGGTTGCAGCAGTCATGAGGCGGACAATTACAAAGGTGTCTGGAAGCAAATCGTTCCCTTGGGGAGGGTTTCCACTGAAAACATGCATTTGTCACATTTAACTAAAACTTTTTCCTCAATATGTAAAACACATGAAAATTACATGATATACAAAACAGTTCATTCTGTCTGAAGGGCAAATCAAAGCCAAGCCAACAGGAAGTGGGATTTTTTAACAACCAGGTAAAGCTAAACTACAAAAGCTGAGGTCAGTTTGACGCAGAATATTAATGAATGTCAAAAAAAATGTTGGCTAGTTGTTTTCATCACCATTATATGAATATAAAGTTTGAAATGCCTATAACTTCTAATTCTAACATTAAGATTAAGGAGATCCTTCCTGCCCACCGCTGTCAGCATCTAACAACTCTTGAATGATGAGCTACAACACTTCATTTCCCTTTGGGATTAATAAAGTATTTTTGAATTGCATTGAATTAAGGTTTCAAAAACGAGGTAGATCTTCATTTCAAAGTGTGCAGAATCACGTACAACATGCAGAGTCTTTGGTCTGGCCTCCTGCACGAGGTGTGTGCTGCTCTTCCTGACAAGAGGTTTACTGACATTCATTCATACAAATTTACCTTTTCCAACACAGATGTCAGTCATGTTGAAATCTGAACGTTGACTGAGACATTCCCACACATTATCACATTTTTCCTTCACTTTTTGTTGTACATTTGCACATGGATTTAATATCAGTCATAACGGGGAATGGAAAAATATGCTACACTTGTCTTGTAAGAAAATCATGTTTCTTTGAATTAATTTACGTCGTGATCCGGCTGACGGAGGCGTCGAACACATGCAGGAGGGCTGGATGGCTCGGGAGACAAATGAGAATGAGAGAGAGAGACATTTGTCTCAATGTGTCCCTGTGACGGACTGGAGACCTGTCCTGGTGTCTCTCGCCTGTTGATGGCTGGACATGTGCACCAGTGACCCCTGAGAAAAGCAAGAAGCGGGTAAAGATAATGATGGATGGATGGATGGATGGATGGATGGATGGATGGATGGATGGATGGATGGATGGATGGATGGAGATATATGTATGAGTTTTTTTTCCTTCTTCAGGAGTCAGCACACACACTTTTTGCCCCGCTCCCCTCAGGAAGGAGGTTGAGGAGCATTAAGTGTAGAACCACTAGACTGAGGAACAGCTTCTACCCTGAGGCTGTTAGACTCATGAATCTCTAACCAGGAGAATCACTGTGAAAAATCACATCATGTTGCTCCTGATCTGTTTCATGTTGCTGCTGATCTGTTTCAATGTTGCTGCTGATCTGTTTCGTGTTGCTGCTGATCTGTTTCAATGTTGCTGCTGATCTGTTTTGTGTTGCTGCTGATCTGTTTCATGTTGCTGCTGATCTGTTTCGTGTTG